GAACTGCTTTTTAAAGCAGTCTATGAGGCCAGCATTATCTTGATAACAAACCCAAAGAACCGCATCACAATAAAATTAGAGGCCAATACCCCTTATGACTATAGATACAAATACCCTTGGGACCAGCAATTAGCATAATGGCTATGTCACTGGACTCCCATGTAGTCGACCACGGTTCAAGTCCAGGACCCGGTGGCTTAAACTCATGCCAGGCGCGTATGCGTGCATGCTCAAGACCATGAGAGGAGAATGGAGGAGAAGAGATTGCAGCGTGGCCATCCCCTCTGGGGGTGATTTCTATCTATCTCTCTCTGTCTGTCTGGTGAGCACACGAACCCTAAAGCAAAAACCTTCCCCCCCCAAAAAAAAATAGATAGATAGATAGATAGATATAGATAGATATAGATACAAATACCCTCAACAAAATATAAACAATTGGATTAAACGCATATTAAAATCATTATTCACCATGATCAAGCTGGATTTACCCCAAAAATGCACAGGTGGTTCAATACAAAATCAATCAATAGTAATATGTCATGGGACCAGCAGTTAACGTAATGGCTATGTCGCTTAACTCCCATGTAGCTGACCGCAGTTTGAGTCCTGGATCCACTGGCTTAAACACAAGCTGGGCGCGTGTGCGTGGGTGCCCAAGATCCCGAGAGGAGAATGGAGGAGAAGGGATTGTGGCGTGGCCATCCCCTCGGGGAGTGATTTCTCACTTTCTATCTCTCTGTCTCTCTCTTTCTGGCACGTGCACGTGCCCTATAGCAAAAAAACTCTCAAAAAAAGAAAATAGTAATATGTCACATTAACTGAAGAAGGGGGCAGGAGAAAACACATGATCATCTCAATTGATGCAGAAAAGGCATTTGACATAATCCACTGTCCAATCATGATAAAACCTCTCAGAAAACTAAGAATAGGGGACCAATAGATGGCACAGTGGTTAACATCACTGGACTCCCAGATGGCCGACTGTGGTTTGAGTAGTGGACATGGTGGTTCGAAATTCATGCTGGGCAAGTGTGTGTGTGCCCAAGAAACTGGCAGGAGAATGAAGGAGAAAGGATTGCAGCTTGGTCATCCCCCCAAGAGTGATTTCTCACTCTCTCTCTCACATACAGTCACTGTCTTTCTCCAGCGACTGCATGTGCCCTAAGGCAAATACCTCTCAAAAAATTTTTTAAAAAGTAATAATAGAAGGAAAATTCCTCATATAATACAGGTATTTATGATGCTCCATAGCTGGTTTAAGATCAAAATCTTTAATCTAACATCAGGAATGAGACAGGGATGTCTACTTTCACAGCTGCTGTTCAAACTTGTACTAGAAGTTTCAGTCAGAACTATTAGAAAAAAAAAAAAAACAAACTAAAATAAAAAGGGTCCAAATTGGAAAAGAACAGAGAAATTGATCTCTTCTCACAGACAATACATCCTACATATAGAAAACTCCAAAGAATCCACAGAGAACTACTAGAGCTAATAAAAGATTTCAGAAACGTTGTAGGGAATGGGACCAATAAAAAACAAATCATTTATTTCTATACACAAGCAATGAACGATATGAGAAGGAAATTAAGGAGGTGTATCAATTTAAAATATTATCTATATTAATTAAATATGGTGAAAACTAGAAAACATTGTTGAGAGAAATTTAAAAAAACCTAAATAAACATTAAGACATTTCACATTTATTCATAGGAAGACTTAAAGTTGTTAAGATATAGGGACAGCAGGTGGCATGCTGGTTAAGGTGCCGGACTCCCACATGGCAACTGCAGATTGAATCTTGGACCTGGTGGCTTGAAAAGTTACCCAGTAGCATGGAAAATCAGTCCTTTCTTTCTGTCTTTCTCCTGTGAGCACATGCACTGGATGGTAAAAACCGAAAGAAAAAAAAATGTCAATAGCACCCAAAACTACAGATTCAATACAATCCTGCCAATGGCCTTTTTTGAAACATTGGAAAAACCAATCCTTATGTTCATGTGTAATTACAAAATATTCTGAATAGCCAAAACAGTTCTGAAACAGAATAAAGTTAAAAGACTCACACTTTGTAACTTCAAAATTTATTGCAGGGGCTAGTAGGTGGTGTGGTGGTTGAGGACGCTGGACTTCCACATGGTCGAATGAGGTTCAAATCCCAGACCTGGCAGCTTGCTTTCTCACTTTCCCTTTCTCTCTCTCACTCTGTCCCTTTCTGGTTAAATTTAAATAAATAAATAAATAAATAAAGCAGTTCAATAAAATAATTCTCAAAAAAAAACTTATTGCAGGGAACCAGCAGTTAGCGTAATGGCTATGTCGCTGGACTCCCATGTAGTCGACCGCGGTTCGTGTCCCGGACCCGGTGGCTTAAAACTCACGCGGGGTGCGTGTGCGTGCGTGTCCAAGATCCCGAGAGGAGAATGGAGGAGAAGGGATTGCGGCGTGACCATCCCCCCTGGGGGGTGATTTCTCGCTTTCTGTCTCTATGTCTCTCTCTGTCTGTCTGGCGAGCCCATGCGCCCTACAGTGAAAATCTCTCAAAAAAAAAAAAAAAAAAACTTATTGCAAAGATACTGTAAGTAAAACATTAAGATACTAGCACAAGGACAGAAATACAGACTAACACAGTAGAAACGGAGCACCCATAAACACTCATATATACTACCAACTGATTTTCAACAAGTATGCCAACCCTGGTCTTTTCAACAAATGATGTTGGGAAAACTGGATAGTCACATGCACAAGAATGAAGTTGAGTACCAGTGGTGAGGGTTACGCCACAATGCAAGAGAACTTAAAGCTACTTACCTATCCACTTATGAATGATTCAAGTAATAAATACCATGCATGTTTTACCATAATCAAAATCAACTCCCACAACCAACAACAAAAAGAAAAGAAAAGAAAAGAAAAGAAAAGAAAAGAAAAGAAAAGAAAAGAAAAGAAAAGAAAAGAAAAGAAACAGTGCGAACTCAGTAAACAACAAAAGAAAAGAAAAGAAAAGAAAAGAAAAGAAAAGAAAAGAAAAGAAAAGAAAAGAAAAGAAAAGAAAAGAAAAGAAAAGAAAAGAAAAGAAAAGAAAAGAAAAGAAAAGAAAAGAAAAGAAAAGAAAAGAAAAGAAAAGAAAAGAAATAGAAACGGAGCACCCATAAACACTCATATATACTACCAACTGATTTTCAACAAGTATGCCAACCCTGGTCTTTTCAACAAATGATGTTGGGAAAACTGGATAGTCACATGCACAAGAATGAAGTTGAGTACCAGTGGTGAGGGTTACGCCACAATGCAAGAGAACTTAAAGCTACTTACCTATCCACTTATGAATGATTCAAGTAATAAATACCATGCATGTTTTACCATAATCAAAATCAACTCCCACAACCAACAACAAAAAGAAAAGAAAAGAAAAGAAAAGAAAAGAAAAGAAAAGAAAAGAAAAGAAAAGAAACAGTGCGAACTCAGTAAACAACGGTTGGCAAGGAAAAGGGCTCTAAGTAATACTCATGTTTTCTGGTCAGGAGGAATTAGTGAATGACATTCAATACAAGAACTACAGAAGATGAGCAGAAGCAGGTCTCGAGATGACCTTGTGATAATTAAAAAGTACATAAACATTGCGACAACCAATGGGAGATCCCTCTCACGCAACCGGCTCTGGAGCTGGCAAGAGATTCGTGAGCGGTCAGTATGTGGCAGGTAACGGACGCCGTGGGAAGGCGTAGGGAGAAGGAAGAACTCCGAGGCAAGATTCCTGTTATCTTTGGACCACTATTCAAAAGCGAGGGAGGCAAACGCCTTCTGGCTTCTTGGGCGCTCATCGGGCGAGCCCACACGCTCCGGCGAGAAGACTTACCAAGGCTTCAGCGCGGAGTGCCCTCCAGGCCCACGCAGGCAGCAGAGTCGAGGCCACGCTCCCGACAAGCCGCCGCGGAC